ATCACAAAAGCAGAGGCAGGGAGGCAGCAAACTAATATTCTAGGGCCAGATATGTCTCTCTGAAAATTTAGCTGGCTAGCAAAAAAAAACATGAGCAGGGAATCAGCAAACCGACACTTATTAACTTAGATTTACAAGTTAGCCCAGCAGAACTCAGATCAGTAATCCGACACTTGTTACACTTACATTTACGAGTAGGTCCAGCCTGGCTTTTCCTTCTCAAGATTCCATTATAAACAAAATTTTAAAAGACCCCTTCAAAAAACAAAATGGTAAGAGGTTACATTAGAGATGATACATAAACACTTCTAAGATAATTGGGGGAAATTGTGTTACTATTATACAACGGATATTTAGGGCCTGGAATGCTGTTTCCAACGACAGCTTCATCACACTGCGTCTGAAACAACTAGATGGAAGCGACAGGGATGAGCTCTGGAAAACTCTGATGATTCAGAAAGGGGAGCTAGTGATGACAAGGAATGACCCTGCTGTCCAAGAGCATGTGAAGATTTGGATAGAATTATTTCATAAGGTATGAGTAAGAAAATCAATAGTCTATATTCCTGTTTTCTATATAGCCTGAAAAATGTGGACTATAGGTAGACATGTGACTATTTAATCAACATGTCTGAAGTTTTTTTTAAGCTCTGTATTTTAAAAAAAATTTTTTGACTTTTTTTTGTTATAGTCAATTTACAATGTTGTGTCAAATTCCAGTGTAGGGCACAAGTTTTCAGTTATACATGAACGTACATATATTCATTGTCACATTTTTTTTCGCTGTGAGCTACCACAAGATCTTATATATATTTCCCTGTGCTATACAGTATAATCTTATCTATTCTGCATATGCCTGTCAGTATCTACAAATTTTGAAATCCCAGTCTGTCCCTTAACGTCTCTGAAGTTTAAACATTCAAGTGGTCCTGTTTTTACTTTAGAATCTTCTCATTGAGAAAGTGGGGGATCACTCTGTATTTGGGGCTGTCTCATCATTAAGCCCAGAGGTAACTCAGAGCCTGGCACGTGGCTTGCCCCTATTTGCCTTTTCTGACATTTTTTTTTTTTTAAGCCTGATCCTAAGTGTTTATTTCATCTTCCTTTGACTTCTGAGGGCAAGGCTGTCCTCTTTTTCTATTAGTACCCTCCTGATCAAGTTTTTCCCTCCTGAGGTGTTGGAGATGTCACTGGTTTGTCTTCTCATTTTCCTTGCCTGCAGGATGATCAAGTTGAACAATATGATCTGTAAGGATCTATCCTGGCTTTAACTTTTTTTTTTTTTTAGTTTTTGTTTTTTGATTCACTGAGTGTATGCATTACTTTAAAAAAAGGTTTTGCCCTTGGTTGGGGTGGAAGTGGGGTGGGGATGGGAACCAAGAGATGTTTTCATGTTGGAGGTGGAGAAGCAGGCAGATTCCTGACTTCTCCTGGCACTCTACAACTCTAGGCAAAATGAAATCTGAGACATATGCTAAAAATTAAAAAAAAAAATTCACTAACAAATTGAAAAACTTTTTCTGTCTACTCGTCCATCCAGCTCTTCCTATAAATAAGATTTACCCGGCACCTATAAATACCAAAGACTATGCTAAGTGCCAGGGACTTGGAGATAAGACAGGGACTCTGCCTCCAGGGGTTTCAATTCCTAACTCAGAGAGAGACAAAGACTGGCCATCAGTCTGGTCTCAGGACACATGCCCTTAGCTCTGGGGGAAAGGAGAGAGGAAGAGACAACAGAAGGTCTCAGCCAGGAAGGTCTGTTTGAAGCTATTCTTGGTGAACAGGTAAGAATTTTCCAGCTGAGCTAGGGATTGGGGATGGAAGAACATTTTAGGAGAGGAAATCATATGTGTGGGCTGGGAGGTAAGAAGAAACCCAGCATGTTCCGGAAACTAGAGAGTGTTTATCTGGAGAGGAGGCTGTATGAGGCACAGCAGGACCAGGAAAGACTATGGAGCCTGAAAAACAAATGTGGGCAGTATGTTGAGTAGCAGGACCTCAGCAGGCCCGTTGTGCTGCCAATGCTGCCCCCTAGTGGATTAGCAGGAGATGTGCGGGAGCGGCTGGAAACCACGCTGAAGGAGAGGTTCCAGAGGTGGACAGGCTGGGAGATGGGTACCAGCACTTGGCAGCAGACCCGGCAGGTCTGTTCCAGAACCACCAGATTCCACCACTAGAAATTTTTTTTGGGGGGGCCAAAGTAATGAGACTGTAGTTAAAATGCAATCGGCTCAGGAAAGAGGGACATACTTCTCTCTTGTAGGCGTTCCTATATGTGGTTAGAGCAAATGCATGTGCTGGGTGAGGGCAGGCTTCAGGGCTAACTCAGGTGAGAGCATAAAGGGCGAGATCCTGAGGAAGAAACAGTATCCTGGGCTCAAGGCTCAGTTAGGGGGCTTTGAAGTGGGCAGTTGGGGGCGGGGGGTGGGGAGGCTTGGGGTGCTTCCTCCCCTAGATGGTGGTGGGGATGTAAGTATGAAGAGGGGGAGAGAAACTCAGACGTTAGCAAGGTCTGAGAAACAGAAGTGCATTACTGTGCATGCTGGCCTCCAGCATGCCCATCACCCAGGTTTTTGCTGAGAGCAGTTGGATACAGTACACATGGCAAAGAATATGGACTTTGGAGTGAGGCCGGAGTTGGAGGAGCCCCTTCTGCTCTGTCAACCATATGTTCCCTTAGCAAGTTGTTCAACTTCTCTGAGCTTGTGAGTCTGTAAATGGTACTGATCCTTACCTCAGAAGTTTTTTAAAGCTTTATTGACCTAAAGTGAACATTCTATAGATGGTGTGCATTTGTTAACCTTTATACATCCAGTACCAAGCATGTGGCCCAGTGGGCGATCAGCAATGTCTTGCTCATGCAGGGAACAGCCCCTCACCCCAGTAACATGAGCAGCCAATGGTTTCTAGTCACAGTTCTAAGTGTAGAACTTAAGATGTTCTCAGAGGTCCCTTCCTGGGCTCTGATGCCGACTGAGTAGCCCAGGTGTTTAAGTCTAGATTGAAATGGGTAAAATCCACACTGACTTTGACCTACAGTGAAGTGTGACTGCCTTTATTCATTCCTTAAATGTTCACACAGAATTGTTTTGTTGTCAGAATCTCAACAGTACCTTTTTACTTAAATATTCTTTTAGGCCATTCACTTAAAACCATGATCCTCTTCCTGGAAGCATGCAGAACCAATTGCAGAGAAATTTATATTAATTCATTTAAAAGTTATCACTATTTAGGCTTTTTCTGGCTTTAGCCAAAACTTCAGGGAAAACAATTTCCTATAGAGACAGTGTCCAGGTGTGTACTTGTGTCTTGAACCTTTAAGATTCTTCTACCAAAGGGAGCCTGAACTGTCGAAGGGTGGGTCTCATTTAGCGTTTGAACAAGTGCTCTGGGGGATAAACCACCTCTGATCGCTTGGTTATTTTGGCTACTCTGTCTCAAAAGGATTGTCCACAGTCCTGGCTGGGAGGTAGCTGGAGGGAGAATGCTTGATCTGAGTTGGGTTTTTTTCCACTTTTATTTTTGTGAGTGAGGATTCCCACAATGTATCTCACCATATTATTCTCGAAGGATTCTAACTTCAACAAATGCATAAATGTATAAGTGAAAACCATTTAAGTCAGGGATAATTCTCACTAAAAAGTGTTGAAGAATGATAAAAGGCAATTCTAGTTATGTTTCTGACATGTAAAATGACAAAACCACAGTCACAAGGAATAAATGCAAAAGAACTGGGTTTTGAATGTCCACAGACTTCTAAACCTAAGCGATGCCTCCCCATCTGTTTAAAACCTTTAGCAGTTGGGACAAAGTGACTCTAACCTAAAAATAAACATTGAACTTTGATTTTAAAAGTAGATTTTTTTCTCTCTCAATGGGGATAAACTGTTTTAAACTGTTGAGAAACCAAGTAGCCTTTCTAAGGTCTTCCTAGATCAGCCAGCAGCCAACCTAAGAGTGGCAACAGGCGCATGAGCTGCTGACCTGGATCACTGCGTTCCTCTGCTTCTCCACACTTTTTCTACCTCAGGTCTCCTTTTCTTCTACCCTTCTGTTCACTCTCTTAACTAGCCAGAGCATGGGACTGCATGTGGGATCACACACCCAGTTTGTTATTCTGTTGAATGTTTATATTTTGAAAGCATGCAAGGAATATTTTATATTAATTTAAAAAGAAAAAAAGTTGAAACCAAAAGTTAAAACTGTTTCTCTTTCTCTGGGCTAGGGAAACAGAAATGCTTGGAGGGAGGTTTGTAATCTTTTCAGAAGCAGGATGGACTGAATCCATTGTATCAATGAGGGTAAGACAAGCAGTTCCACAAAGAAGTCAAAGAGCCTATAAGAGCCAGAGTCAAATGTAAGATTTTAAACAAAGGAACACATAGCCCAAAGCCAAGAGACTTTTCCTACAACCATTAGCATATATGTTAAAAGGATGAAGTTAACTTGTGTGGTTTGTGGGTGTATTTTGACTCACTGAATATTTAGATAAAAACTGCGATGTGAAGACACACAAATCGAGCACTTCAGACTTCCTTCCAGGTGAGATTGTGACTTTCACACACTGCTACTCAGCAACGTCAGCAGGCAGCAGTGGGATGGCGTCACGCTTCACTGTGACAAGGACAGACTCCAGCAGACTGTGGGCACAGACAGGCCACAAGATGGCACAGCACCTCTCTCCTTGACTGGTCCCTTGGCATCCCAACTGTTAAAAAATCCACTGGGAGGTAAGATGCTGGGATTCCAGAAATCATCTCAGTAAACCTAGAAACTGGTAAATGGATCTGCCATCTCTGAGTCTATTCTATATGTGATTAAGGCCAAGACAGTGTATAGCTTTTCTTCTAAATCCTATTCCATTATGCTAAATGAGCATTTAAAAAGCCACAGAACCCTCAAAAAGTATCTAGTTTACACAAAGCCCCAACACCAGTAATGATAAATACTGTTACCTCAAACATCATGACATCAAATGGTAGTGACCACACCCCAAGAAAATTTGAGTAAGAATTTATTAAATTTACTTAAAGGACTAGAGCTGATATATGAGAACATGTACAGTAACATTTAGAGTTAAGTCAACATAAAAACAAGAGCTGTGGTTACGAGTAGCACATGCAATTCACTGCAAAAGTAAAAATACATACAAGAGTCTCTCCAGATAAGCCTGCTATATATGAAGTTAGATTAGGTGGGGGTAAAACAGCAAGCAAACGTGAAAGAATTGCACTTACAAGTAAACAGGACATAGCTAGGATATAAAGAGGAGACATACCTAATGCTGATCACTGTACTGCAGTCCTAGCAAATTGCACACTTACTTTTAGAGTATACTATTAAATATACATATACATTAAGACTAAAGAATTTTAAAATATCCATCTTTAAAATACCCCCTTATTTCTGACACATCATGTTATTCATGTAACGGCATTTTAAACATGTAGTTATTGTCAAAGCTTATGTTTAAGGGATAATAGATCTGTAACATCTATCACCATTGATTGGCCCTAAATATATTTTTATCATGATCTATCAACTTTAAAAAACAACTGGGTAATGAAGTTAAATTCACCTGCTTTAAGGAACTACTGACTACCAAAAGGCTTTAAAAATTTAGGAACAAACAGGTAACAAAAGAGCTCACTCAGAGCTGCCTTCTTAAGAATTTTAATGTAATCAACATATACTAGAATAGCATGTGCATACACATACTCGTGGCATATAATGAAAAAATAGACTAAGCCAAAAGATACTACATTTGGCTTTAGAAAGTTTTGTTTTGACTTACATTTCGTTTATAAACCACCAGAAAAGGAACTGCTATCAAGAAACCATCTAAAGAATTACGTTGTAAACTTGCTATCTTCTTTGAAATCTATGACAATGCCTAATTTTACACTAAACCTAAATATCTTGCCATTTGATGACTTCCTATTAATTTACAAAAAAGTGCAAAAAATTATTTTAAAGTAATCTTACCTGGGCAATAGAATGTAACATGACCTACAATAGAAAGTTATCCCAGTATCTTTTTAATAATTGAACTTTAAGTTTTATATAGCTTATTATTTTGACACTTTACCCATTTCAACAAAATAAAACTACCAAAACACAAGGGTATAGTTTTAGAAATCTGTTCTTAAAACCAAACAGGAGGAAAATGGTGTGGAATATAATAGGATAGAGGAAGAGTTCTCCCACTTGGTCAACCCATGAGTTAATAAATATTTTAGGGAATTCTAGTATGTACTTACTCTACATCTAAATTCATGTCATGAATTTAACTAGTTAACTACGTGGTAGAAAAAAGTCATTTTCAATTTTGTTATTTATAAAGCTGTTTCTATTTAAATTTGAACTTTCATAAATAAATGTTTTAAAAGTATATTTCAACTTCATTAACCTTTAACTTCACAATAAACTAGGGTCACTGGGTGACTTCATGTGTAAAAAAAAATCTATCGAAGAAAAAGGCTGAAATTAAATGAACAATTAAACGAACAGATATGAACACAAAACATGTAAATGATTTTGCTTTTTCCCTTGCTTCTACTCATATGTTGGATATGTTCCCCAGTGCTGAATGACCCATTCTATAAAAGAATTAAATTTTTAGCTTTTAATGGAAGTCTAATAGTTTTCCAACAGTTACTCAGCTTCCTGCCTTTATGAGAGCCGGGGGTAAGCTACCAAAGACACCAGTAACCAACAGTCAAATTATAGTAACAGTGTATTCAACATATGCTTGATTGTTATTTTTTTAATCTTATAAGGGGCAACTGCAGTGAATTAGCTTCATCCACAAAGAAGCTGTTTTCTGATGTGCTAGTATTACTTTCAATTTTTGGATACTAAACATTTAATGAGTAATAAATCCACTATCTTAAACACAGACTGATGTTCACACAGATAAACTGGATTTCTCTGCCTGCCTAAAATACAATTCCCACGTATCAAAACACAGATTATTCTAACACATATGCTTTAGAAAAGTAATTTTGTACTTAAAACAGTTTTCATGATTGCTTTTCTTTTGAGGCAAAGATGTATGTTACATATATTCTTTTCCTGAATGAATTTTTGCACAGTGACCATTTATCCATTTAATATGTCTAAAGTGCTCTTGTGGCTGGGGGGATTCACTCACTGCACCATGTTCTATACAAGTTTCAACACACAAATTTGCTTATCCTTTCTTAAATGACTCTTCATTCTCATTCCTTTAGATCATGAGTTCATATTTTATAACTGCCCACCCCCCACCCCCATCACAATCTTCACACTAAAATGTTCTTCACAACACTGATATTTGTTAGGAGGGAGATTACTGCTAAATGTGGTTACCATAACATGACTGCTTGTTTCGAGGAAATGAAAAATGTGTATAAATTTTTTGACATTTAGCAAGATAAATCTTGTCCTGATTTGGACCAGCCTCTGATGACCAAATTAAATAATAGTGATGCCATTAACCTGTAGTGTGTGTGAGTCTGGGGTTTCCTCTGCCCCCACTTGACTTCCTTGTGCCTAATTTTCCCCATCTACTTCTAATTCTGACATACTACCAGTCTTGTATTTGTTTTGCCTAAAGTAGAACTGGCTATATCAGAATAAAGCATCTGCTGTGTCTCACAAAGACCATATGAATGAAAGAACTGTGAACAGTATTAGGAAAGCATATAAAGGATAAAGTGAAGTAGAGCAGGAAGTCTAATGTGAACAATATTAATGAGAAAGTATTGAGTACAATTTGATTTCACCTGTAACTGTGTACCAATTTTTCTCAGTCTTTTATTCTTCAATAACTTCTACAAACTATTTTAAGTTGGCCTGGTTCCTGTAACTTAAATATGACAGAAAAACAAAACCTATTTTCTCCAAACTTACTTGACAGCAGTAGTCAACCACATGATTTATGACAACTTCTTACTCAGCTCCTAGTGTTGGCTCCTGCTTCCTCATCAAACGTAGTGGGTAGGGATAACCTAAATGCGAAACTGAGTTTAGTGCTAAACTCTGGAGGCCTGACTGACTTCTCCCCTGAAGAAAAGAACATGTGGGAAAGAGGTTTAAAATATTCCTAAATCACCATGTAGAACTGTTTCACCTACCTCAGAACTGGCAGACATTAAAATACTATCTTTTCATTAAGTGCCTCTGCAATAAGGATGTTTGCTAACTGTGATACTTACTAACATCAATATGTAAATTTTTTGGGTGGTGGTTTGTTTGTTTTTGGTGAATACTGCCCAAGTCCTCTAACTTAGTCTGCTTCAAACACCTACTAGAAAAAAAAGAAAAATTTCAGTCTAGGTCTACTTAAAAATGAAGCATATTAAGTTAAAACACGTTTTAAGCTGAAAACATATTGCATAAAGTGCTTCATTAACCAAATTACCAAATCCTCTGAAGTCTTAACAAGAGTCAATAATATTTATATACACATATAGAAAAGTGTTAACAATTTAAACCTTTACAAATGGCAAAGAATTTTTTAAATGTTTAAGACAGTTTGTCACATTCATTCCTTTTATCTGGACGTTCTGCTGAGTCTGTGAAATGAATCTTCAGAGGCTGTCAAAAATGATAGCTAATTTGTGAAAATTTTACCTAAGTGTTGATTATATAATACTCAAAAATTAATATTTTTTGTTTGCCAAATTAAAACTCTAGGATTCCTTTTCTCTGTAACTGGCAGCATCATTACCAATGAAGAGAACTAATTAATATTTTATATGTTGATATGCTTATGAGTGAACAGATTTTTTTTTCTTTGTCAGACAACAAAAGCTGTACTCATTAACTGCACCAGCTGGGCTCCTTTTTAAATTATGTTGTCAGCCGAAGTACAGGATCTAGATGTTGCTCCTTTATTTTTTTATTCTCCCTAAGCCACTTTATTTGATGACTATTCTCGTTAAAATCAGTACAGCTAAGTTTATTACTGCTTTTAATTTAAATACCCTCTGTTCTGTACATGGCAAAACATGAAGTTTCACTTTATAAATTTCAGACAACCTTTGTTTTTCTTCAGTGCAAACATCCTGAAACAGCATAAGTCATTCAGCTATTCAGAGGATGAAGTCAGTTTATGTAGTGCTTAAAGTAGAATCCCAGATACTCTGGGAAGGACAGTACATTTTTGTCCTTAAGGGCAAATGATCATCTTCAGTGAGTGAAGATTATTCGATCTGAAATCACAGATGAAATATTTTTAGCTTTAATTTACAGGTGCTGCTGAGCTGTAACAGGAGCTAGTCTTTCACTGAGGCATGTAGCCACCTTGTCTTACAGTCTGTGGTAAGTAACTTTTAGGCATTCCTTCATCAATTGTAGCCTCCATTCCAACGGTTTCAAATATCTCTAATTGCCCCTCAGTGCCTGGACCAAAAGCATCTGCTGCAGAAACTTCCTGAAACATTTTCATTTGCCCAGATCCACAGGGCTGTGAAACATGATCTGAAATCTGCTGCTGTTTAAGTCTAACAAAATCTTCTTCATTGACTGATGCAACTTGCATTGACCTTTCAAAATGTGAAATATCTGGACTGGTTTCATGTTGACTGCAGTTCTGTTTGAAATACTGTTGCCTGGGCAAAATGCCATCACTGCCATCTACATTATCTACCAGCTGCAGATCTTCTGGCCGTTCTTCGGAATCTAACAAGGGCTGAGTGGACTCGGATCTTGAAAAGACTTGGACTGATGGTACCTGGTGTCTGTAGCCACTATGTACCACAGTGGAGTACTGGACAGTGCTCGAAGTATTCTGTGCAGATTCATTTTCATCACTGCTAGAAATGCTTGGCCTAGAAGATGACATGCATGAAGACCCTCCAATACCACTGCTGTGTCCCTCAGTATTAATTTTTTCCTTCTTGAATAGGTCCAATGATTTCAGATCTTCTGGAAAAGGCTTTTTGTCATTTGCTTCTATTTCCACAACACTTACATCAGTGAAATTGCCATCTGGATACATTTGATCTTTTGAATTAAAATGCTGAGAGAGAGAAAAAATGGATTACCACCTATGGCGCAAGTTCATTTATATGTATGGCATGCATTAGTTAAAGCCACATAGCTAATACATCTCTGAAATGTCTCAGTAACTTTTAATGGTGTAGAGATAATCTACATCACTAAATAAATCACTGCCAACTACCAGCATTACGGATACTGTGAAATGATTCTGATTTTAAGAAGTATGAATTAGGCTGTATTTCCTCAGAATTCCAAATCAATATTGTTGGTGTTATATTATAGTTTGATAAGCTAAAGTTCTAGAACTAGTATTTCATATTTCATGCCTAGACTAGGCAGCCTAGGGTTAATTGAATAGAAAAACAAGGAAACATTAAGAAAAATCAAACTCAAATGACCAAAGTTTCATATAATACAAAGCACACAATACATTTCAACCTGTTACTGTACAATTCAAGGATTGTCAGAAGGTAGTAAATCATTTTCCCTTTAGGGAAGTTCAAAGAACTTAATGTAGGTTTCTAGAAGTCACTTAATCAGTATTAAAATAGTAGACTTTAAATTTAATTGTAATACCCAATCTAAAATGCTTGCCTTACAACAGAATTATCACACAGCAGTATTTAAAACACTTTCAGTTTTCAACCTGCAAGCTCAATAAAATATTTTTAATGTATACTAAATAGAACCAGGAATATAAGGACAAATATGCTAAAGTGATAATAAATTTCTACAATGTGTACATATTTTAAATTTTGGCTAAAATTCTTACTTAGTTTTGTTTTCATCCACTTTTTGATTCAGTCTGATTATCTTTTGCTTGACTTCTACAAATATATCCTAATATGCTTGTGTATTACAAACAAGTCAAATATTTTACCTTACCCTTAGAGGTGTATGAGGTGACCACTGGGCAATATGACTCTTTGAAGGATCTGGAACATTAGGCCAAATGTGTTTTTTAATTCTGGAGAAAAAACAAATATGGCATATGTAGAGTCACATTTAATAAACAATGAATAGTCCCTGTATCTAAACATAATCATCTAAAAATCTTAAAATCAAACCAAGAAACAAAAAATACCTACTGTACCCCAAGGCCAACCGAAACTTTATTTTTCTTGTAACCAATAGAAAAATACTGTTAAAAATGCATAAGGATCTTAATCCTTATCCTTAAAGAAAAATTATTTACAAGGCTGAAGCTGGTAATCAGTATTCAATTCAAAAAAAAATCTCTGAAATCAAATTCTTCAATAAAAACCACTTAAACTTCAACCAGGTCACAAAATGTTGTGGTACATCCCCTCTCAAAAATTAAAAAAAAAAGCAAAAATATTCAATTCCCAACTAAAAGAGTTCAAATAACAAATCGATTCTCACATGGGTACCAGATAAAATATGATAAATCTGATTTTTGACAAGGAAGAAAGGCTAACAATATTAAAAATAATTCAATAGATCCTCCATCATCAAAAACCTATTTAAGTATGTTTTCCTTAATATAGTTCCCAGCCCAATGTTAGCGGTCCACAAGTGTACATAAGTATATATGAAGTAAGTCATCTTGAGAATAAGTTCAGATAAAAAATAAAGAAGAGTGATAAGATCCTAATACACTGACTCTCCTGCACGAACAACTATAAAATTTAAACATAATAAACAGTAATATAGGACAGGTCAAGATGGTGGAGTGGTAAGACCACGAGCTCATCTCTCTTCACGAATACAATGAAACCACAACTGACTGCTAAACAATCATCGGAAAAAAGACTGGAACATAGCAAAAGAAGACCTTCAACTGAAAACAGAAAGAGGGAACCACAGTGGGACGGCAAGAGGGGTGTGCTCACGTATAATCGGGCCCCATACCCCTGGAGTGGGTGACCCAGAAGCTAAAGAATAATTAAAATGCATGCAATATATTGTATATGTGCAGTCAAACTGTAACAATTCTACCTAATAAAACTGAAAACTGAAAAAAGAAAAAGCAATGAAGTTAACAACCTAGATGAACTGACCAACCAATCAATGGGTTAATTCTTTGAAAGACACCAATTACCAAAACAGACTGAAAAAGAAAGCTTCAACTGCCCTATATTTAAAAGAAATTCAGCTTTTAATTAAAAATCTCCCCACAAAGAAAACAGCAGGCTTAGGTGGCTTCATTTGTGAATTTTATCAAACATTTAAAGAGGAAATAATGTCAATCCCACACTAACTCCCAGAAATTAAAGGTAACATGTCCCCATTAATTTTATGATGCCATTCATTTTATGAGATAATCAGTATTATCCTGATTCCAAAACTAGACAATGACACTGCAAAAAAAGGGGAGAGACCAATATCACCCATGAATGTAAAAATTAACACACTGAATCCAGCAAAGTTCAAGGAATGCAAGGGTTAACATCTGAAAACCAATGAATAAAATACACATTTATGAAAGAAAAATCATAACAGATGCAGAAAAAGTATGACAAAATTCAACACCTATTCATACCAACAACTCTTAGCAAAATAGAAATAGGAGAACTTCTTCAACTTATAGCTGACGTAACATGGAATGGTGTAAGACTGAATGCTTTTCCCCCTAAGATCAGGAATAATGGAAAGATGTTGGTTCTCATCACTTCTATTCAAGATTATACTGAAGGTCTCAGTCAGTACTATAAGAACTAAAAGTACAAAGACTGGAATATCTTTACTTGCAGGCAGCATAACTGTATGTACATGTAGAAAATCCTAAGAAATCCCAAAAATGATTAGAGTAAATTAATTTATCAAGATCTAAGTATATAAGATCAATATGCTTATAAAAAATTAATTTATGTGACTTATGAACATGTAAACTCATATTCCTATTGCATTTCCCCCTAAATTGATGTACAGGTTCAACAGAATTCTAATCAAAATTCTAACTTTAAAAGAAAATGTATAAGCTGATATTATCATTTATATGAAAAGGCAAAGAACTTAGCCAAAAATAATTTTGAAAAAAGCATATTGGAAGAATTACACTACCTGCTCTCAAAACTTACTATAGACCTATAATAATCAAGGCCGTGTGTATCAGCATGAACAGACATACAGATCAACGGAGCAGAACTGAGAGTCTACAAACAGATCCAGTCTTATGGATAACTGATTTTGGCAAAGGTATCAAGGCAATTCAATAGGAAAAGAGTCTTTTCAGTAAATGATGCTAGAATGACTAGATACCTATGGAAAAAAACTTTGACCCTGACCTCATACCATGCACAAAAATTAATTCTAGGTAATCACAGACATAAAGCTAAAATGATTAAACTCCTAGAGGAAAATACAGGAGAACAAATCTGTGACATTAAGTTAGGCAAAGATTTCTTCTATGGGACATAAAAAACAAGAACCATAAAAAAAAATCTGATGAAATGGACTTTATCAAAATTAAACACTTTTGCTTTTCTAAAGTCACAATTAAAAAAACCAAAAAGGCAAGCCACAGACCAAAATTTTCAAAACATATTTGACAAAAATTTTGTAACCAGATATATAAAGAACTCTTCCAATATTGCCAACCACCCAATTTAAAAATAGGCAAAAGATTTCAAAAGACACATCACAAAAAAACAATATATAAGTAGCACAAGAAAAGATCTATTACTAGTTATCAGGGAAATGGAAATTATAACCACAATGAGATAGCACTACAAACCTATGGAAAAAAAATGGCTAAAACTAAAAACCCTGACAGTACCAAGTATTGGGGATGATATGAAACAAATGGAACTCCCACATTGCTGGTGGGAATACAAAAGGTACAGTCACTTTGAAGAACAGTTTGATAGTTTCTTATAAAGTTACATATGCACTGATCATATAACTCATCAATCCCACTACTAGGTATTTACTCAAGATACACACAAAAAGATTTGTAAGTGAATGTTCGTAGCAACATTATTCATAACAGCCCAAAATCAAAGAAACAACCTTACGTTTCGTAACAGATGTATGGATAAACAAATTTTGATGTATCTGTACTAAAGAATACTATTCAGCAATAAAAAGGAGAAAAATATTAGTATATGCGACAATGTGGATAAGTCTCAAAAATATGCCAAATGACATCATACACACATTATATGCAAAAGATTACATGCTGTTTGATTCTATATAAGTGAAATCCTAGGAAAGGCAAAAATTACCACCACAGGAAACAGATCAGTGATTGCCTGGGACCAGAGGTTGAGGAAGAGGACAGACCACAAAGCAGAACGAGGAACTTTTTAGGTGATGGAAATATTCTCTATCTTGATTGTGGTGGTAGTTATACATTTGTATATAGTTACAAAACTTTATCAAACTGTACACTTAAAATGGATGAATTTTATTGTGTGTAAATTATAAATCGATAAAGATGAGGAGAAATGCAAGAATATGAGTAAGAGTACTTACAGGTCTCGCTTATTAAAGCAGAACAATACTCCCAAAAGTGTTGTCAGTAGGAATGCTAAGCAAACCGGCACAACTATAGCTTCAATTTCTCCTTGAGCTAAAAAACAGCAAGGGATAAGAAGGAAAATAATTGTTGATACACATGCTAAACAGAAATAATGCAGCTTCACAACCAGACTGCTGTTTAAAAGGTGAAATACCATCCCAGTATTTTTTTACAACCTTTTCAAACTTAAAGGTGTTTCTCTCCTCCCACCCCTCGCCCTTGGGAAATCTTATCCTAACTCCTTACACCTTACACAGTAACCTGGCCACACAGTATGCGTAAAATATATGTTGGTTGAGGGAATAAAATGATTAGTTCAGTTACTGGATAGATCATCTACCTTGTAAGAGCTTTCAAACCTAACCATTTATTACATTTATGATCTGCACTCAGCAGACGCTTAGCAAAAATTTACCTTTGAGTTCTATGAGTACTGGGTAGAACTGAGAAAGTTATAAAACAATCTCAATAACTGAACTACAAACGTCACCTTCTACAAGGAAAATAAATGTAAAATTCAGGCAAAAATTTTAATAGCTATTTACTATTTCCAAAAAGATTATATATCTGACATAGAGCTAAGAATTATAGAAGAATCTTAATAGGTACAAAGAGTGAAAAAGTAAGAATATCATCATCTAAAAAGCAACAAGCCTAAGATTCCTAAATATCACACAAATCCTTTCTGCATTTAAGAGGGTTTATTAATCAAATGAATCACTAATTGGGATAATTTATATTAGAGTTTTTTTTTTGCATTTTAACATTTTTTATTGATTTATAATCATTTTACAATGTTGTGTCAAATTCCAGTGTAGAGCACAATTTTTCAGTTATACATGAATATATATATATATATTCACTGTCATTTTTTCTGTGAGTTACCATAAGATCTTGTATATATTTCCCTGTGCTTTACAGTATAACCTTGTTTATCTATTCTACAATTTTAAAATCCCATCTATCCCTTCCCACCCTCCACCCCTTGGGAACCACAAATTTGTATTCTATGTCTATGAGTCTATTTCTGTTTTGTATTTATGCTTTGTCTTTTTGTTTTTGTTTTTTAGATTCCACATGAGTGATTTCATATGGTATTCTTCTTTCTCTTTCTGGCTTACTTCACTTAGAATGACACTCTCCAGGAGCATCCATGTTGCTGCAAATGGCATTATGTTGTTGGTTTTTATGGCTGAATAGTATTCCATTGTATAAATATACCACACCTTCTTTATCCAGTCATCCGTTGATGGACATTTAGGCTGTTTCCATGTCTTGGCTATTGTAAATAGTGCTGTTATGAACATTGGGGTGCAGGTGTCATCCTGAAGTAGGGTTCCTTCTGGATATAAGCCCAGGAGTGGGATTCCTGGGTGATATGGTAAGTCTTTTCCTAGTCTTTTGAGGAATCTCCATACTGTTTTCCATAATGGCTGCACCAAACTGCATTCCCACCAGCAGTGTAGGAGGGTTCCCCTTTCTCCACAGCCTCTCCAGCATTTGTCATTTGTGGATTTTTGAATGATGGCCATTCAGACTGGTGTGAGGTAATTCCTCATTGTAATTTTGATTTCCATTTCTCTGATAATTAGTGATATTGAGCATTTTTTCATGTGCTTATTGATCATTTGTATGTCTTCCTTGGAGAATTGCTTGTTCAGGTCTTTTGCCCATCTTTGGATTGGGTGTTTGGTTGTTTCTTATTAAGTCGTATGAGCTGCTTATATATTCTGGAGATCAAGCCTTTGTCGGTTTCACTTGCAAAAATTTTCTCCCATTTCGTAGGTTTTCTTCTTGTTTTATTTCTGATTTCCTTGCTCTGCAGAAGCTTGTAAGTTTCATTAGGTCCCATTTGTTTATTCTTGCTTTTATTTCTTCTAGGAGAAAATTTTTGAAATGTATGTCAGATAATGTTTTGCCTATGTTTTCCTCTAGGAGGTTTATTGTATTTTGTCTTATGTTAAGT